ACCGTGATCAGCCTAGGAGGGTAGACAAACATGTAAACAGAAGCAGCAATAAGGGGTAAGTGTGAGTACAAAGTGGTCTATTCTTAGGGTATCTGTTGGATGTTGCCTGTAGAGACTTAGAACCCTCTAAACAGAATCTGCCTCAAAAGGATCCGGGAAAGAGACGTTAGTGGTGCACTCTGGCAGTTCCCCTTCTTGGGTACAGCCCAGGCCAGTTGGATCCCACAACTGAACAACCGGGGAACCCTCAGCTTCCCACTGTCTCCCATGGAAACCAAGGGAAGAGAAGATTCCTGACTTTCACAATCATCATATGCCCTCAGGGTCAAGAGCAATGAGAGGACACCGCTTTAGTGGAGCCGGCTTCATGTCCCTGTAAAGTGGCTCTTGAAGAATGAAGACAGCCAGGGCTGCAGCGGGGAAGGAGAACCTGTCTGAGGGTAAACGCCCTCAGATATGGAAGGAAAAGAATGCCAGGCTAGGCAGGGGACTCAGGAGAAGAAAACTGCTTTTTACCATTCATAGGAGAACTCAGCCTAGGAGGACAGTTTCCGGTTTTCCTCTAATTGCAGTCTTGTGCCTGCATCTGGGCCTCCTGAGCAAGTGTGCTCCTTGGGCCTGGGTGAGGTGCCATTGCCTTGGGCTTCAAACCCCACATTTAAGAAACTACCTCCTGCATTCCTCTTCCCTTGCTATTTTGGGCACTTGTAATGCTTAGAAACCTGGCCTTCAAGTTAAAGAGAAAGAAGAAGAGAGAAAGGGAGGTGAGGCAGTGCAGAGGCCACCTCTAAGCTGTCATGCAAACAGGACACTGCTGGCCAATTTGGGGGCTGTGCTGGGCAAACACTCTGCAGAAAATGCCATAGACCTGTTTACTTACTCTCCCTTCCCTGTCCTGGTCCCTACTGACTTCGGAAGCCATTTTAGCAAGGAATCAAGACTGTCCTACTGTCACACACATCCCAGGGCCCCCAAAATGCTTGCCTGGGCTTATACTGAAGGTAGAAAGAGGACTACAGAAGTGGAGGGAAGAGGAAATAATTCTAGGAATGAAGACGCAACTGAGTAGTTGAGGCGAAGGACAGGGGAGCCAACTCTCAAATACTCCCTCTGGGGGCCCCTCCCTACCTGAATTCCAGTGTCTTGAGATGGTGGGGGAAGGGCTTCTTGATGGGGTGGGAGATGGAGAGTGGACTGTGGCAAGGAGTTTCAACCTCTGACTGCTCTAGAGATGAGAGGAACAGGGAGAAGAGAATAAGGGCCAGCAGTTCCCCAACAGAACAGCCTTCTCCGGAGAAGGCGTTGGGACACCCAGTCCGCAGCCCCTCTCCTCTGCCTGCTCTCTGAGGGCTGCCACGTGGCAGGTGATTAGGCACAGCAGATGATGGGCAGGAGTGACACCTTCCAACTGTCCCAAACAACTGTCTGCTCGCTTGACCAGGAGTTTCAAGAGTTTAGGAAAACCAAGTTCCCTCTTGCGACTCCTCAGCTGCTGTCCACCCTCAGGTCCCGGTCCCTGGCAATGCCTATCCTGGCTCTCCACGGGTAACGCCTGCCCAAGTGCCACACCCGGAGCAGCTCCCCAGCGGCAGCCAGCCCAGAGAAGTTGGGTGGGTGAGCTTCAGCTCCCTTGCCAGAGCAGATGGTGGCTCTCCGCGGCGGGAACCCTGAAGGCAGGTGGTGGGAGGCACAGAGGTGGTGCTTTAAGATGGCCGCAGTGGAGAAACCAGGCTGCCCTTCTAGGCTAGAGCGGACCGCAGTGGAGAAACCAGGCTGCCCTTCTAGGCTAGAGCGGACCGCAGTGGCGCTTCCCTCCGGCTCGTCTCCCGCGGGAGCTCCGCCTAGGGATGGTGCCGCGGGTCCCCGCACCTTGGGGCCAGAGGGGCAGCACACCGCTGATGGGGAGGGGAACAGGCCCGGACATTTTCAGGCCTCCTCCTCAGAGCAGCCTTCGGCTCTACATTTGACTGCTGAGCATTGCCACCTGTTCGGGTTTTCGCCAGGATTCAGAATCCCGCGCCGAGTGGAGAGACTGCGCCACTGCCACCGAGTTAGAAGAATCGAATCCACATCGTGTGCTCAACTCGGAAACGCTTCTTATTAAATACCCCGATTCCACAATAAAGCTGCTAAATAATTCAGCAGACCTTGATAGAAAAATGCAGCTTCCCAATGCGCCAGGTTCAGTTAAATGATTGTCTTTAAAGGGGGCTAGGGACTAGCGTCTATAATGAATAAGTTAGCTGTGATTTAATGTATTTAAATGCTAAAAAGGTAAAAAAACAAGCTGATCCAGTGATTGCATATAAAGCAAATAAAGAAATGTACTGCATGCAGAGGCTAGGAGTTTCCAGAATCTCTTCTGTATTTCATAAATTTTTATTTTTGAAAGAACATTGCCAGATTCCTCCCGGATAGCCTCCTCCCCCATTAGATAAGCCATCATACGGATGCAGTGAAATGTTGCTTATTTTAAAGCCTTCTCTGCAGGAAAGATAAACTTGGCTGTGTCTTAACAAAATTTGAAAACAGCACTGGAAATTATATACCATTTAATGTCAAACCTTTGACTTTTTAAATAAGAAAAATAATCCAGGGTGAAATCTAGGTGATATGGAAAGGAAATTCTGGAACTCTTAATAGCATCTGATATCAAAACACACACATCCGTAAGAATACTTCATAGTAGATAAAATATTCACATTTCTTCCAAGTCTAGGGAAGGATTGGAAAGAATTGAGCTACTTCTAGAACCTATGGCAATTCCCAGTTGAAATTTGATTTCTATATTCGTTTTTTTTTTTGTTGTTGTTGTTCATCTTTCAGAGAAACTTAATATGTATCTTGTGCCAGGCAAAATAGTTTTCCTTCTGGGGAACTTCAAAGGTAACAAATACTATAAAACAACAATTTCATATCAGTTCTGTGAAAGGATTGAAGTATTTCATTTCTAGCTGTACTATACATTCATTTTACATTACCTTTCAAGCCACCAAATTAGAAAGCCTTTACATTATCTTTCAAACCACCAAATTAGAAAGCCGGATTATCTATGGGAAATGAATTGAAACTGAAAAGGACCACCTCTAACTATGTATTTACAAGTATCTGATATGCACAAGCCCAGTTTTGCATGTGTAGGGAGAGTGAAAGAGGGAATGCCTTGGATCCCATGCCTAATCACAGACCTGGACCACTCATTTTTTAGCCATGGATTTGATTTCTATTTCAAATTCTATATTAACTTAATCAGCAAAAATCTCTTCAATGGTGTCAGTTAAATCCACAGAATGCAAATCTGCAGCTAATAACAGCAGGAAGCCACAGAGAAAAGCTTGGCTGGCATTAGCAAAAGGAGTCAGCCCCAGCCAGGGCAAAAAGCATGTATCACCCCAATCCTGCCTCTCTTTTCCACCTGGCTTCTGAGGACCTCTTCAGCTCCCTATCAGGGCTCCCCTTTGAAAACATCAAATAACACACCAATTATCTAAACATCAGATTTTCTATTTTTATTAAAAACTCACAAATTTATTCAACATGTTTTCTTTCATACAGTGAATGGTCTAATATGCACTGGAGGTCACACAAGCTTAGGTTTATTAGAACAGTAAAAGACATATGAGAAATTTAATATATAAAGAAAAAAGTAGCAGCTGTTGACTGCATATTTGACCATAAAATTTAAATATTTTGGACTTTTATTTTAAAGACACAAAAATAAAACCTGTGTGGGTCTATATAAGTCATATTAACAATTCCATGAATGTTCAACAGGACAAAAAATTAGCAAAGATGGTTTTTTTTTTTTTAAAACCTTGTAACACTTTTTTTTTTTTAAACACTTTCTCCGGTTGCTGGTGCCAGGCACCTTTACAGTATTTGTGCTATAATTATTCTATTTGGCAACTGTCTGAATAGCCTGTTTTCTCTTTGCCTCGTGTAAACAACACCTTTTTACATACTAGCACAGTGAGCCGAAAGCCCTGCAAATCTGTCAGAACATCTACAGGAAAAGAAAAGGAACAATTTTGGTTGATTGCTCGAAACATTTTGTTTCCAAACAAGAGGTTTCAAAACAGGATATATTAGTAAAACACTGAACTCCTGAATTTAACATTGTACGTAAACAGTTGACTGTTTTAGTTCAATAGTCTTTTTAAATTTTTTGTGTGTGTGTGTGAAGGTAGAATATTTTTCTTGTATAGCTGATGTTCAAGTCATTTTACTGAGCGGTCTGGCTGGAGACCATCCTATCTAGTATGTCCGTGTATGTATGTATGTATGTATGTATGTGTGTGCGTGTGTGTGTGTGTGCGTGTAGTTTTGTGAAGGTAGAAGAGTTGATACTGAGGGCTTTACATTTAGAATTTTGCAATTTTGGCAAAACCAAAAACCAAAAATCCAGATAGACAAAAAATATATATATATATATAGTCCCACCTGATGCACGGCAGGTCGGCGTTTCTGAAGCTATAAGAGTTTGTCGTCAATGTTGTTGAACTCTGAGACAACACTAACAAGGGCTGTCCCAGAGCTAGAACCTTCCTGGCTGGCGGGGGAGCGCCCTGGGCCGCTTCACGTCCCTCACCCGGCTGCGGCTGCGCTCACGGCCTCCCTCCCCACGGCTCCTGGCATCGCCAATGGCTGTGCGTGCCCACCGCAGCCATGGGCATCTTTTCGCCGCCCGCCTTCCGGGCGCACACGCCCTCGGGGTCTGTCCACGGATCCGGGTCCAGGTGGGAGGTAGGGAGAGGTCTGCGTTTCCCTTGGGGAGCCCCAGTTCTGCACCTCGGCAGCCAATGTGTGGATCCTAGTCCCACCTCGAGGCCGATTTGGATCCTATTTCTTTTCCATCTGGTCTCCCCAGAAGGAGAAAGGTTCTCGAGGCTGGAGGAAGGGGGTGGGGACTTGCTTTTTATGTTTTTTCCTTTTTTCTATTTTTCTTAAATAAAGGTTCATTTCTGTACAACCACGAACTCCACGGACCGTACGAGACCCCGCTACCACACTGCCGCCTCGTTCATTTCAGGGGGATGGGACAGGTGGTTCCCGTAGCTCGCCCCACCGTTGACCGACAGCGACGAGAAGGGAGGGCTGGGCCCAAAGACCTCGGCCGACATGGAGTGCAGAGGCCCGGGCAGGCTGGGCTCGGGGCTGGGCGAGTCCCCGGGTGGGTGCGCCAGGATGTCGGTGAACCGCTGCGCCTCGCTCGACGGGTGGTGGCCCGGCAGCGGGTGCTCCAGGCCACCCAGGGGCGTCCCGGACGGCCCAGACGACGGCACGAAGGGTAGGTCCACTGGCGTCTGGGCCTGCGAGGACGGGGGGCCTTGCGGGAAGAAGTCGTAGTTGCCCCCGGGCCCGTAGTACTCGCTCTGGTAATCTGCGGAGCGGCGGGGAGGGGGCAGGACGTCAGCGCCCGGCCGGCGGCGGGCGGGAGCGCCGGGGGGGGGGGAAGGCGCGCCCTCGAGCGGGCTGGGGACGGCCACTCGGGGAACTCGCCGACCGCGGAGCGCCCCGCGAGCCGGGTTGCAGGGAGAAGGCTGGGCGCAAGCTCCGGAGCTGCCCCTTACTGGCCGCCCCCTTAATTCAATGCCGGGAATTGGGCCCTCGGTCCCGCCGCCTCCCTTGATTTACTCCCACCCTTCGCCCTACTCGCCCCGACTCTCCAGTGGCCCCCGGGCCGCCACCCGCTTCCAGCGAAGCCCGCCCCGACCTGGCCGCGCCCCGCCGGTCGGCGCACACCCACCTCCATAGAAGGAGAAGGGGCCGTTGGGGATGAGCTCGCCCGGCTCCAGGCGGTCCACCAGCGGCCGCATCCGGCGCGGACTGCGGAAGAAGGCGTGGCGCCGCGCGCCCAGCGCGCTCAGCTGCTTCATCCTCCGCTCCTTGGAGCGCCGGTTCTGGAACCAGACCTACAGCACACGGCGGCGGCATGAGGCCACCGAGACTCCATCCCCCGATCCCGGGGCGCTCCCGGCCTAGCCAGCACCCCTCCACCTCCCGGCTGACCGATTCCGTGTGTACGTGTGTACGTGTGTGTGTGTGTGTGTGTGTGTGTGTGTATAGGGTAGTGGTGACAGTGCGATCTCTGACTAGGACCACTCAGGGCGGGCCCTGAGCCAATGGTGAGCAGGAATCCCACAGGAGGACCTGGACAGGCTGCCCTGTCTGGAGGCGGGGGGCAGTTGTGGTATAGCTGGAGTTTTTCTAACAGTCACACTGTCACAGTTACAGCTTCTCCGGTGCTGTACACACAGGAGACACTACCTCTCTGCAAAACAATGTCAGACACACACCGAGCTTCCATTTCACGGTCTCTTGCAGCAACCCTCCCCTCAACCGTGTCAGACAGACACAGAAACAGCCTGTGATACCAAAACCCACAATCTCCTTGTCACACCCATGCACATCTCACAGTGCCAAACGTACTTATCCACAGCCTCTTGCCAATAGTGACACAGACACACAACCAACTTCTCATTCATGCACACAGGTTCTCAGTCTCCTGTAGGACTCGGGGCCTTTCGCCTGTCCATTAGCCTCCCAGGCTGGCACATCCACCCACACCCACGCAGGGCACCCAGGCCCGGTGAACCCGACACCTAGCACTGAGCCAGAGGCTCCCTCTGGCCTGGAGCTTCAGCAGTCTCACCTCCTTTCCACCCACAGACCCAGCTGCCTCCAGGAGGCCTCTCCTCCCCATTTCACTCCAAACTGCTTGAAGCGGAGCTGATTCCCGGTGGAACCACCTCTCTTCGGAGGGGAAGTCCCTGATCTGGGGCTTGTCTAATTGGAACAAGTGATCACAAAGTTGGAGTTAGAAGGAGTTCACTTTGTGCAGAAGGCAGAGGAACTGATTGACTCTGGTGGACACTGGGACTTCTCTGACCCTTCCGAACCCGAGGTTGGGGTGAGGTATGTGCAGAAAGAGAGGTCCCAGCTCTCTCCAGAGTGTTCAACAGCCTTTGGCTGAGCTCCCACCCCTCCCCCTCCACTGCCACTATCACCTCTGTTGGGCTGGGAAGAGGGCTTGCTAGATGCTGGAAGGCATCAGGCATTTCACAGGTGCGGCAGGGTCGGGATGTGTCTAGACACCCCACCTCCAGACTCCGTCTCTCACTTGTCTCTGGATTCTGGGCCCTCCTGGGCTCGGCCTGGGTGCCCAGAGTGGCAGTGTGGGCCTCTGTGGGATGGAGAGGCGTGCTGGGGCCTGACCTGAATGACGCGCATGTTGAGGCCGGTCTCCTGCGCCAGCTGCTCGCGGATGTGGCGGGTGGGCTTGGGTGTAGCAGCGAAGGCGGCCTTCAGCGTCTCCAACTGCTTGGCTTTGATGGTGGTGCGCGGTCCCCGCCGCTTGGCGCCCAGGTTCTGGTCGTCATTCTCGTTGCTACCCCCTTCCTTGTCCGACACGTTGGCACTCTCCGAGTCCTTGGCGTCGTCCTGCGACGGGTCTTGGGAATCCGGAGACAAACTGGGGTCACTGCCGGTGGTGGCTGAGAAGAGGGAAGGGACAGGTGAGCCCGGGGCCTTGGCGAGCCTTCCTCCCCCAGGACCCGCCTGCCCTAGCCAGTCGGAAACTGGAGCCTCACCCGAGTGGAGGCTGTTCTCTTTGGCAACACTGCTGTTACTTAGGTAATCCTCTTTGCAGACGAACTTATTCTCGTCGATGATGTAGAGCTCCTCGCCGGTGGAGAGCTGCTTGTTACACATCATGCAGGTGAAGCAGTTCAGGTGAAACACTTTGCTCCGCGCTCTTCGCACCAGGTCGCTAGGGGAGATGCCCTGCGCGCAGCCCGCGCATTTGGTACCGAAACACCTGCGAGGGCAGGGGTTGTGTCAGCCAGGGGCAAGGGAAAGACGAGAGCCAGAGAGGGGAGAGATGTCCCAAGTGGAGGAAGCGGGAGAGGAGGAATGGAGCGGGGAAAGAAGGGAAGAGAGGGAGAGAAAGGGTGGCGGGATTCCGATTAAACAGGTGAGGAGGCAGCAGGAGAGAGAGCACGGCACCAGGGAGAAGTCAGGGAGGAGACACAAGCGGTTAGAGCCAGGGGCCCAAGCTGCCCCGCAAGCCCCAGCCTCACTCGCAGCCTCATCCCAGAGGAAAGAAGCATTGTCTAAAGAAGGTGGCAAGGCAGTGACCCGTGAGGAGGGGAACAGGGGACCCTTATTTTCCGATTAGATTCATGAAAGTCGAATTCTAATTACAGCTCCATATACACGTGCCCGAAACACCGCTTTTCTCTCTTTCATCGCAAAAGGACCCGCCGCGTACGTGGGGTTGGTGAGGTCTAATCCCGCTGTGGGTAAACAACCATAGCCGCGGAGAGCACCCCCTCCCCGTGGCCGTGGCGGTAGGAGCCTTAGAGCCCCCCCCCCCGCCGCCACGCGCTTGCCTCAAGCGGGGCACGTTGGCGAAAGAAGGAGGCACGGGAGCTGGCTCTGGGCACCCTGCCGCGGGTGGTGGAAGCCAGGCCTCAGGGACCCACTGGCAGCAGGTACTACGAGTACAGTTTGCCACCGTCCCGCTAGGATCCAGTCACTGCAGAGGAAACCCGGAGCAGCCCGCGGAGGCTCAGAGGGTCAGCCCATGCGTTCTTCCGAAACACCAGCGAGCACGGAGCTTTGCTCCACGGTCCACGCAACCCAACCCCAGCCACGAGTCCTGGATAGGGCACTGGGGAGAGGGCGTCCTGGAAGGGCACTGGGGAGAGGGCGCCTTGGCGCTCTGAGTGGCTTTGAATTCCTCTTCCTCCCTGCTCCCCGGTTTGAACTATGATCACAAACTCAGAAAAGCAGAAACCTCAAGTCAACTGAATAAACTGCGAGATTTCACGTCTTTTGGGTGAAATTACAATTTGCATTTGCGCCTGTTCTCTGCTGACTTGTGTGTTTGTGTGGATGGAGCGGCAAAACTGTGAGTGTAACATAATATAATTAAAATGCTAAACGGATAAGGGGAGTAGGGAGAAGTCTCCCCACCAGCAAGCTGGGGGTCTCGGCTTTCCCCCAGGTTTCAGCAAGGAGGGTGCTGGCTGTGGCTGGCAGTTCCTAGGAGGGCTACTGAGCGGAGCTCGCGGGAGTCGGAGTCGCCTGGGGCTGAAGCCGAACCACTGGCCAACTTCGGCAGCCAGGGAAGCAGGAAAAAACTCCGGAAGCTTCGCAGTCTACAGTGCAGCAATTTGCCCAGGTCTGCATTCTGAGGCAGGTCCGGGGCTGGGGAAGACCCCCAGGCGTGCAGAATCTGCCCTAAGGCCAAGTTCTTTCCTGCCGCGGACTGGGCAGACACTCCACGCAAAAGGTTCCGCGCTTCCCGCCAAGACCGCTCAGGGTCGGAAAAGGTAGTTAGTGGCTGGGAGCGAACCTGGGCTCAGCTTGGAGGGCAAACAACCCCGAAGGCCTGGAGAATGCAGGTGCTGCAGAGCTTGGCTCGGGGAAAGCCAGCAGTCCGGGCCACGACGCCCGAGGCTGCCTGTCTCTTCCAAGCTTGAAGGGGCTTCGGGGCCGAGGCAGGCTCAGACCCTTTCTTCCTAGGCACGTGCAGCCAAACCCAGATCCATAGTTTCCAGGATGCAAGCAGGGCCGCGTCCCGGGCTCCCCGCGCGCCAGCTGGCGGAGAGGCGGGCGCCCGCGGGACTTGGCTGCCCTCTCTAGAAGCAGCTCCTAACTGGGCTGCGAGGCCACGCTAACCTCTGATCCGAAGCTGGCCGGGAAGGGCCCGCGGGGAGGCAGCAGCAGAGGCGTGGGAGGGAAGTACTCACCGGAAGAAGTCGTTCTTGCAGTAGAGTTTGCCTTCCCTGGAGAAGCACTTCTCGGTCAGGTTGCATTTACATTCACAGCACTGGACGCACTTGACGTGCCAGGCCCTGTCCAGCACGTTCAAGAGAAAGCGGTCCAGGATGGGCCTTTTGCAGCCAGCACAGTGAACCATGGTCTTTGGTTTGGTCTGATGAGGCCCAGAGAGAGAGGGGCAAAGTAGAGCCCGGGGGATGACTCCTGAAGACAACCGGCACGAGCTCCCCAACCTCTCCAACAGGAGGAGACACCCTTGGCCGTGCAAGCCAAAACCCGCACCAGGAAATCAAAGTAGGGGGAAGGAAATGAGGCTGATGGGGGGGCCGGGACCGCCTCGGTGGAGTGTGCAGCAGGGGAGTCCCCGGGCCCCGGGGCGGAGCGGTGCCGCCTCAGCTCCCGGGGCGAGAAAAAGAAGTCTCAGGCGGGCGAGAATCCGACCCTTCTGCCCAGAGCCCGCGGAGGAGTGAAGGTCACCGAGAACGGCGGCGGGAACGGAAATAAATAAATAAAAACGGAGACGACGACGACGAAGACGACGACGACTCGGCGAGCTCGGGTTGCGAGGAAAGCGCCTCTGAGTTCTCCCGGGCTTGAGGTAGAGCTGTCAGAAGTCAAAGTGCATCTGCTTCTGTCGGGGCGTGAGGGCGAGTGTGTGCGTGCCAGGCTGCCCACCGCTGGGATCTCCCCCCTCTTTTTTTAAAAAAGAAAAAGAACAAAAGGAGCAGAGAAGCTCTGGATCCTAAACTGCCGGCATCGCGCCGCGGGTCCGGACGCGCCGAGGGCCCTCGCTGGGCCTAGGGGAGGGGGCGAGGGCAGACCGCGGAGGGGAGGGAGAGAGGGGAGGGGAGGAGGAAGATCTCGGTGTGGCTTGCGGTTGTTGCTTAGGTTTCCCCGCTGTTGGAGAAGTGTTTGTGTCAATCGAAAACAGAGAGGGACGACTCCGGGCGGAGGCAGCCAGGCGCACTCGCTCCTTCCCTACCGCCCCAGCCAAGTCACCTCGGCCCTTGGCCTGCCTGGAGGCCTCCGTATGCTCACGGCGACCCTCCCTGCCCGGGCTCCTTCGGGAGGCACTACGGGCTGGCTTCTCACCGCGCCTGGCCGTGCATCGTGGCTCCAGTCCCAGCTCGCGGCCGCCTGGGCGCGCAGCCCCGCATCGCTCGGCCCACGCTCCGGCCGCCTCCGCCTAACCCCACAGTCGCTCGACTTTCTGTCCTTGTCCTGGTCCCCTTCTTTTTTTCGTTGTGGTGGCAAACCTGGATTTCCTTTCTAGCCTCCTTCCTTTTTTTTTTGTTTTTCTTTTGCAGCGGGAGGAGTCGGGGAGGAGGGGGGGCAGCTTGGAGAGCTTTTTAAAAAAATGTCCTGGCGCAGCAGCTACAGTAGGCCGGCGGCTGGAACGGCTCGGCGCGGACTGCCGCTATCGCCGCCCGGGCCGCGGCTCCTTGCTGGCCCTCCTCGGGCGCGCGTCCCTCGGTCCCTGGTCTCCTGGCCCAGTCGCCGCCCCGGCGCGTCTCACCCCAGCTCCGGCGGCTCGGTCACTGCTCCTGGCTGTTGGCTGAGCTCTGGAAGCCCCCTCGCCTTAATGCAGCGCCCGCCGACGTCACTGCGGCCTGCGACCAATCAGCGCCTCGCGGTCCCTCTGTAAACCATTCTGCATCCCCCGGCCCGGGAGAGTGCGCGGAGACCGCGTTTAGAGGATCAGTGGCGGCGGCACCCGCGGCCCCGCGCGGCGGGGACAGCGGGCAGCACCGTGCCTGGAACCCCTCCTGCTCCGGTAAGGCGTCGGTTTCGTTGGGAGGGACAGAGAGCGAGAGGGAATCTTGCGCAGGCAGAGGCCCGATTTCTGCCGCAGAGTGGGGAGAGTCCAAGACCGAGGCTCGTGGAAGGCTGGGGTGTCGCAGGGTCCGGAATTCCAGGCGGCTCCGCTGCACAGGTGGGCTTTGCGATTCAGCGGCCGTTGGCATTGTCCCCCTTTACTTTCTTGACCTGGAAGTTTGTCCCAGGCACAGCGCACATCTTTGGAGGGGGAGGGGGCCATTAGCAGCGGAATCTCCCTCCTCCCGTCCTTCTTTCTGTGCCCCCTCCCCCAATCCATCCAAAGTCCACAGGGTCCGAGTCCTGGGCGAGCCGAAGGTCTTTCTCCCGCAGAGCACTCTCGCAGAGTTGCTTCGGGCGGTTTCCTGGTGGGGGCGGGGAGACCGGAGGCGCGGCGCTGGCTTGGGGGGAAGGAGTGGACCGGGAAGCGCCTCGGGCAAGGAGTTGCAATCCGCGAGAAAGTTGTGAGAAAACTGAGATCCGGAGACAACGCTAACGTTCAAAAACAAACGACTCTGCGGGAAACCGGGGGCTCCAGCGGCGGCCGGGGGTTGGTGGTCGTGGCGGTGTGAAGAGGGGAGGCGGAAGGGGGTGCCAGGACGCCAGGGAGAGGCTACAGTAGATGGGCGTGCAGTTTATGGGCAGCGTGTGCCCGGCTTCCAGTCCTCCCCTGTCCAGGCTTCGGGTTAGCACCAGCTTCCCCAGATCACAGCAGACCACACCCTCCATACTTCACTCCTCAGGTGAACCCGAAATTCCCTAACCCCGCTCTGGCTGGGAACCCTGGACCGCCGCCCCTGGGTGTGCATTTGCTCAGAGGTGGCGGACAGATCCTGGTCTAGAGTGCCTTCGTCTGGAAGGGTTACTCTAGTTCTTCGGAGCACTCAAGTCAAACCCCAAATTCCGTTTCGACCACACCTGTTCTGGGTGGGCTTAACCAGGATTTCTCCTGGAGTCTGAAGGTGGTTGGGCTGGGCGGTCCCACTTTTGCTGCCCGTTTTGGTGTTTCGGGGGAGGGGGTGCTAAGAAGGCGCGTTTGGCTCGAACATGGAAGGCAAGGAGGGTGGGCGTCCCTCCGGAGCTGGCTGGTATTGTGGAACCGGTCTTTGGACCCCACTCGCGGTGCGCAGACCACACGGAGGCTGAAACGGGGAAAATGCTCGAGGAAGCGCCGTCGCAACGAGCCCGCGCTGGCAGGGAGTCCCGCTGTGCCAATGGAATACCCTCTTCGGACGAACCGGGAAGCGGCTACAGCGAATCTGGCTTGCGCTCCGCGGGGCCGTGGGGCTTTAGGGCTCTGCCAACGCCCCTTTGCTGACTCCGCCCGCACCGCCCGGCAACCCCGAGGCCCACAGGCAGCCCCCGCCTTGCCGCCGGCGTCACCAAGTCACTGGAAACCGAAGCCGCAGAGACCCGCTGTGCGACTCGTTGGCGTTCTGCCCCGAACGCTGGGTGCCCGGGACCCTAACGCCTTCTCCACAGCTTCTTGCACAGACACTCGCGGGCTCCCAGCTGCGGGCCGGAGGGACGCAGGGGACCAGTCAGCTCCCGCGCGCCGCCCGTCTCCGCGGGTCTCTCCCAGGTCCCGGTGCGGGGCAGGGCAGAGGACCGAGAAGGCCGTTCTCCGACCCAGCGGGCGGGCTCCGCGGGCTCGGACTGGGCTTCGCGCTCCTCCTGCGGACCCGGCACTTCCTGGCGGAAGCCGACCGGTAGTAGGTGGGATTCGGCCATCCCCGGAAACGCCGAAAGCAGCCGCGTGGCACGGGGTCTTCGCTTCCTCCGCCGGGACCCCCGGGCGCCTCCCAGCTTGCTGCGCGGCGTGCGGCCTGCGGCGAGGGGGCCCATCCAGCCCGGTTGTCCTCACCCTCCTTCGGTCCCCGCAGCTGTCCTGGTTCTCGCCGCCAGCGCCTTCGACCCAAGCGCCCCTTTCTGGAACCTCTAGTAGCCTCAGTCCCGGGTGGCTCGCCTCCGCCCCCGCCCCAGCTGGGCTACTTCTCATGCAAAGCAGAGGGGTCGCAGCGGAGTGTGGGGCGGTCAGTGGGACCCGCCGGACGACAGCTGGACCCGGCTGCCGGCCCTTCCTCAACCCGAGGCCTGTCACCTCCCTTCGGTGGGCAGGAGGGGGTTGCCCCATTCATTTGGGGGTGAGAGAACCGTGGGACCCAGGTGTCGGGGAAAGAAGGCCCCTCCCACAGCAGACCCGCGAGGCAGGGGAGTTAGGGTTAGCCCAGGGCGCTCGCTCTAGGGCGTGGGGCTCTGTTCGTCCTTTCGTCCAGATGGCTCAGTAAACAGGTCCGCAGGAGCCAACCCTGGCGTCTACAGGGGGTCCGGGAGCGCTACGCAGAGTGCGCCTCTTGGCTCCTGACTCTAGGTTTGCAGTCCAGATTTAACTCCTCCACGGGGACAGCACATCAGACTAATCGTGGCTTTTGTTTTCGTTTCCATTGAGCTTTTATTTTAAAACATAATCGGTCGCAGGGACATGGAGAGAAAACTGACCAGGCTTTCTCAATTCGCCATCTCCGAAGCCGCTCAGCTCAGCTCTGCATTTAAGCCGATGTCCGTTCAGCGAAGAGCACCAACCTTCCCCCCTCATCTTCGCGGCCACACTTACCGTCTGCATCCTCAACTACACGAGCGCATTCCTACCCAACGTCCTTCAAGTCCCACAGCCCCGCAGCCACTTACACCGCCCGGGACCGGTACATTCTGGACCAGGTGCTGAAGGGGTCATTTTCACTGATAGCTCAGTGATTGCAGAGTCCTTTCCACCCTCCTCCCAGGCACCCCCGGATACGGCCCCAGAGGGCCCAAGAGGTGGCTTTCACAGTCCAGGTCTCTCTTCTTGAGAAGCTCCTTGACGATCATCCCCAGAGGGACCCTGGTCAGAACCCGGGTTGGAGAGAGGGTTCTGTGTCAGCCCTCCCCAGCTGCCCTGCAGTTTGGAGAGCCTGAAGGTGCCCCTCTCGAACTTCCACCTCTTTTCCTTCCCCACCCCCACCCCCCACCCCACAAGGTTTCGGATTGACGCTCGGCACTGGACCGAGCCTGCTCCGTCACCCTCGGCTGCTATAGATCCCAAGGGTGGTGGCCGGCCCTGGCCATTTCTATCCTCTCCCTTCGGCTCCAGACCCAGCCCAAGGCCCGGGTGATGAGACCGCGAAGGGAGGTGCCTGGGGCGGAGCCGGCTCCAGGAGGTTACCCCAGGCTGAGTACACACCCAGCTACCCCGTCCCGGAGGAGGGAGGAAGGAGCCAGCCCGGAGCACCCCGGGACTCTGCCGGTCCCAGAGGCCACGCAAACTTTGCCCAGACTCAGTGAGGCCGAGGTAAAGCAACGCAGGGAACCGCGTGGATGGGGTCACTCGGATCTGAGCACCAAAGTCTCCCTCCTCTCCCTCCCCTGTAGTTCTCTCTGGACTTAAATGGCCTTAATTTCACCTATCACTCTCTCATGGAAATGAGCTACTCCTGTGCAGTTCTTTACAGTTTGTATCACGGTCTCCCCTGAGCCGTATAGCAAGGTGGTGGGGCAGGGGTGTGGAAGAGAAGGGTACTATCTCCACTTTCCAGACCAGGAAGCCCGAGGTAGGGGGCTTGCCCGAGATCCCTAGGTCATCGCACTATTTAAGGTGAGAAGTTGTGGGGGTGGGGCTTGACACCTTCCTGCAGTGTGCACTTTGCGCCTGGCCCTGTTTTCTAAGCAAGGGGGCTTGGGCAGGTTAAGGGGGAGCAGGGACCGCCGGACCGGGAAAGGGCAGCATCCGGCAGCCCGGGGCGTCACGGTGTGTGCCTGGCCTGGGTAAACAACTCGAGCTTCCCACGAGCGCTGGGTGTGGGGTTTGGCGGGGGAGAGGCAGGGGGCGGGCGGAAGAGCGAGGTCAAGCGTAGAGATCCCAGATGCAAGTCAGCTCCGCGCCACGGAGCAAAGACGCGACGTGGATAATCTCCGGAGGGAGAGGCTGAGCTGAAGAACAGGAGAGAGAGACAGAGGTAGAAGTGAGGAGAGAGGGGCAGGAAAGGAAGATAAAGGCAGAAACCAGGGAAAAGATGAGATGGAGTGCGGAAAAGCAGGCGCGGATAAAGGAAGGAAACATCTGGTCACGGAAATGCGGGGAGGAGTGGAGGAAAAAAGACAGAAGAGAGACTCAGAGAGAGACCCGGCCACGAAGAAGGCCGGCAGGACGGGACGGGGAGCCGAGGGCCCTCGGAGGGGGCGTCCCGCGGGTCTGGGGGGCGTGTGGCTTTGGGACAGGCGCGCGTGCGGAGAGGAGGCGGCAGCGTGTTTGGTGGGAGACTGCGCCCGTGGAAAAGCGGCTCTGGGCAGGAATCCAACAAATAAATAAAACGTCTAAGACGGCGTGACAACAATGTGTATTTGGGTGCGTGCCCGTGTTCCTCTGTCTGCACACACTCACACCCAGTAAGGAAGACAAACGGGGCTCGTGCCTCACAGTAATTAATCCTCTCACTAATTGACTCTTTCCCCTTACCTAACGGCGGTGGTCACTGCTGATACCTGGAGAGAGATCAAGTGGGGCGAGACAGAGAGAACCCCAAAGCTAACGACCTTTGGGACTGGGATTGAGTTTTTTTCTGGACTTGGCAACTCTAAGCCCTGCTCCCACCCCCACTTTTGGGCAGAGTTCCATAGATGTTGCTGCCTTCCTTGCCCCTCCAGGTTTGGGGCGGCATTAATAAAGATCTCCTCAGGTTACGGTGCTGTGGTCACACACTGAAGCCCTTCTACTGCCCTCCACCTGGGGAGATCAGTTTCAGAAGCTGAAAGGCGCCCCCTGTCCCTGGGACGTTTCTCACCCCTCTGCAATACCAAAGCTCCTCCTCCCCTGTTGTTCCCCCCAGGGGCCCAGACCCTGCACCCTCTTCTTTCAGACTTGGGTTGAGAGGCACAGAAGTGCAGAGGGGCGCAGTTGCCACCTGGCAAGAGCGAGGCCTCCAGGGACAAAGGCGGGAAAGGTGGGCTCTATGCACCGTGGGAAGGAGCACCAAGTGTGTGAGAGGCAGGAAGGCGGGCATATCTCTGTGGCTGTGGGGGCAACAGTTCTGGTCTCTCTGTGTGAGTGCCGGGAAGGCCCTCTATGTTCCCTCACAGCACCGTCAGTTCTCAGGACTGGGGAGAAGAGGTGGGGGACTGGCCTGGGACGTGATGGTCCCCTGGGTAGCTGAGTTGGCTGGAAGGGGCCCAATGCTCACAGTCTGTCTGGTAATGCAGCTTTGAGGCTTGGGTTTGGGAGGTCAGTGTCAGCTCTCACCCCTGCCAGGTGGCAGCTTTGCTCTGCTGGCCTCCTTAGAGGCTAAAGAAAGAAATGCTGACATCTATAAACCACCCAGCCCAGAGAGAGGAAGGAGGGAGGAAGGGCAGCTCCCTAGAAAAAAAATCCACTCCCCCCCACCCACTAAACACATTTTTAATTGCCCCTTGGGAACATTTGTACATTTGACCAAAGCAAATCCCCAAGCAGTAGCAGCAACATGAGTCACAGGGGCCGGTGGTCCAGAGAGAGCTGGGGATCTGGAGAAGGGGAGGTGAGGAGAGGTGGCCGGCATGGGTGGGAAGGGGAGAAACATGCCTCCTTTCTCACCGTCTCTGTCACGCTTTAGAAAGAAAGTGAGCAAGAGAAATAAAGTTCCAGAGGAAAGAAAGTGAAGGGCATATAAAAGGCAAATCCAAGCCCGAAAGGAAAGAAAGTGAAGAAGAAAGAAAAAGGCAGGGAGGGGGGAGAGACTATAATAGAAGAGGGTGAAGGCGGCCCCAGGAGGCTGGGCCTCGTCCCAAACCATCCGTCTTCATTGTCTCCGTGTGTGCAAAGGCAACTCCAGCATAAGGAAAACCCACTATTGGAGCCGAGGCTTTATTTTATATCCTATACATCAGGAGGGAGGCAAAGCTTTATTTTCGCCAAGAGACAGATATTTTATTTCTCTCTTACGGTTTTATGTGTGAGAGATGTCAGGTTGCCACAATGGATGGCTAATGCATAGGCAAGAGGAAGCCGTGTTGGCATGCTGTGTGTCATGGGGTCTTGGGGGGGGTGAGCGGGCCTGGGATTTAGGGCTGATGGGACACTCTGGGGGATTTCTGCTAAAACATCTCTCTTCATAAATCCAGAAGCATGGTCAGCTCAACAGGGAGAAGAAGGAGTTTTAGAGGGAAAAGAGTTGGGCTTAGTAATAAATGAACACACAAAGGAACCGCTTACCCTCCAACAGGCACCACAGCCCCATGGAAATGCAGAGCCCCCCCCCCCCCGTCCATGCACACGAGTCCCATTCACAGGGAAGTATTTTCCTGACACAGTCCCAGCTCAGCGTTCCTGCCTTTCCCCATTTTATATTTTTCCACCCCCCTTCACCAGAAATCTTTTTTAACCTCCTCAGAGCCTTGGGGGAAAAGAGCTATTAATTTGCAAATCATCTGATCTGTGAAAGGATCAAAATGCCTGGTTCTCACTGCTAAATCCAATGTCTTGAGTGGACACAGAGGCACACACAAGCCCGTCAGGCTGCCAACCCTTGGGAGCACAGGTGCCAGATCTGAAGCCAAGAAAAGACTCCCTCTCCTCCTGGGACCTGCAGCCAAATTAAGCCTTAGATTCCAAACTGCATAATGTTCATATTTTTAAACCTGGAGAGAAGTGGGGAGATGAAGTGGGGCAAAAGAGGGGGAAGTTTGTGAATTTACATGTTCTATTCAGGACTCAGACTAATTGTCTTCCCCCTTCCCAGCCACCCCCACCCCTCAAGCCATTTCTTATAGGAGTTGCTTTTATTCATTTTCATGTCCTATTCTTTTCGTTTTGGGATTAAAATCTACTTGTTTAATATCTACTGCGGAGCAAAAACGTGACCATGCTCTTTCTGTCTTGTCAGAGGGTCAGAAGCAGCAGCACAGGATTCCTAGACAAGCAGTGTGGGGACCCGGCTCTGCTGTCCCCGGCCTCTGGTAAGGGCATTTATCCTTCCCGGGCCTCAGTTGTGTCATCTGGAACACGAAGGGGTTCGGCTAAATGATTGCGGAGGTCCCCTCCAGCTCTGACCTCCTCTGACCGAGTGAGATAATGTGTGAAAACACTTTGTGAACGCTAACACCGGACGAATGCCAGCGATCGTTACTACGATTCTAATCAATCCGCTTTTCTCCACATGGATCCTGGCTGTTTAGGGCCAGCAGGCAGGCTAAAGAGAGCTGAAAGTGAGAAAGCTTAGCAGAGATGGAAAAGATCTGTGCCGTGGACGGGAAAAAAAAAAACCCCTGCATCTCCAGAAACACTGTGTCTCTGTGTGCTCCCTGAGGCCTAGTGGGAAGGGCTGGGGAGGAGAAGCCTGACTTGAGATGACCCATTTCGGTCTACATGGTGGCAGAGTGTGTATTTCTTCAAAAGCGTTATTGGTCTCCAAGTGACTGACGTGGGAACCTGATGGGAAGGCGATTTGCAATTGTTTTTTTCCAGGAAGAAAAGAAAGAGCAAGGTATAGCTGATTAGCAAGTTAATTATTTCAGTACCCCAAGGGTTCCAGTGTGGTGGTAAGTTGTCCAGCCCTGGTATAATTTCACAGTCCGTGCATTTCCTGGTGAGCACGTGGGGTGCCTGAGTCTGTCTCTTTCTCCATCCACCTGCCTTGTCTCTTCCTGACATACCTGGAGAGATGGGCAGGGGCTGGGGAGGTTGATGGTACAGGGTGCACATTGGGCCACATTGAGAACAGGGTGGAGGAAGCCCAACTGATGCTATCTACCTCCGCTGAGTGTTTAATTATCTGGCCCTTTCTTCTTTTAAAAAACCTTTTGTTTAATAAATATTAATGAGCTGGTTATCAGAAAGTGGAGTTGCCAAGAGGTTATTCCCCCAGTCTTAGCATGGAAAGAAACTGGGTTTGAGGAGCCTTTCAGCCCCTCACCGCCTCCTACCCGCGCCTCTAGCTCTCCCGTGCTCGCCTTCCACAGCAGCTCCTCCAGTCTGACTTCAAGATTGGATTTCCCCTTGGGGGAGGGGGAGGGAGGGAGGATTGTGTGGTCAAATGGACACTTCCCCTCAGAGAGATAAGTTGGAGATGTGAACGTTAGCCTCAAGAATTAACAGCCTCTGCTGCTCTCTGCTCTCGGGGCTGGGAGGGCCAGCCCCCTGCTGCTCCTTCTGAGATGGATGAAGGCAGGGCTCCACAGTTTACTTAAGAGTGGTCCCATCTGCTTGGACTGGCCTTTCATAAGGGGAGGGATTTATGCAGTGTCCTTGTGCACAGACCCGGGATTTGGCTGAAAACCTTGGGCCTCTGAGAATATTACTGAACGCTAAAACGTTCAGCCACGGAGATGATTCATGATTTTGTTTGCATGGACAGGGTGTGTGTGTATGTGCATGCGTGTGTGTGTTTGTTGGGGGGGTGCACGCACACTGACGGGTGCTTTTCACCATTCTCACTTTGAATCCAAATGTTAGGAAACTTTTTTTCTTCTGTATTCACTCAGGAGACAGCCCATGGCGCCAGGCTCTGGAGAGCCTGCTTCCTGACTTCAGCGGGGTGAAGATGATACAATACTTTCTGGTGCTGACATTCAGCTGTCCCCCAAGCAGGTTGGCTGATAGCCCTGCAGGTCCTTGGAGAGGGGCCGGGGGCTGTCTAAAAAGATAGTTTTGATGACTGCTTCGTTGCTGGTGGCAGAGGATTTGGGGCAGGGGGTGGAGTAAGTCCAATTGCTATTTAAGTTGGACTTGGCCTTGTTTATTTCACAGTCCTAAAGGGTCTCCATAGAAGAAAAAGTAGCAGGACAAACTTAGAACGCAGAAAAGAAAGCATAGGGAAGAGTTTCTTGTCTTAATCTTGGTAGTGCTGTAAGCCCAGGGATGATTACAAACAGATCCTAGGGGACGGGCGCCGTGGCTCAGGCCTATAATCCCAGCACTTTGGGAGGCCAAGATGGGAGGATTGCTTGAGGCTAGGGGTTCGAGACCAGCCTGGCCAACATAGTGAGACCTCATCTCCAAAAATTAAAAATTAAAATGAAAAAACAAAACAGATCCTAGGGAACAGAGCTTTGAGATTCCCTGTGGGATCTTGGCCTGACTCCTGGGAGATGAAGAAGGTCCTGGGCAAGTTTGAAAAGACCTGCAAGTGCCATCTATTCAGGGGACTAAATGCGATTTCTTTTTACTGCCCAGGGGCTGGTAAGGAAGGAAGCATTTTACATTGTCAGCTTGTAAGATGGTCATTGGTGGTCCTAGCATCTTGCTCAGGTTCAAGTTTGGTCTTGTAGATGAAGACCCCAGCTTCTTGAGCTTCGTTTTTCTTTTCCTTCGGGCCATTCATAATTTAGCCAACATTCTGGCCCATTGGCCAGCATGCCTTTTGAAAGGTATGCTGGCAGGCCTGTAACCGTGTGCAAGGTTGTTCTCATCTGGGCTCCAGGAAGGATATAGTTTCCCCATAAGAAAGAAAAGTGGCAAGAGGCTGAGGTGGGAGGTCACTTGAGTCTGGGAGGCAAAGGTTGCAGTGAGCTGAGAATCACACCATTGCCCATTGCCCATTGCATTCCAGCCTGGGTGACAGAGTGAGACCCCATCTCAAAAAAAAAAAAAAAAGGAAGGAAGCAACCATTTCTATGAAACTTTTAATGAAGGATTTACCAATTTAATAAGTACAATAAGCACAATGCTCCTTTCCCTCCTTCTGAATGAATAACTACGTCACTCAATGTGAGAGTCTGCAGAACCTATAAAAAATGCTTTCTAGGCCGGGCGCGGTGGCTCAAGCCTGTAATCCCAGCACTTTGGGAGGCCGAGGCGGGTGGATCACGAGGTCAAGAGATCGAGACCATCCTGGTCAACATAGTGAAACCCCGTCTCTACTAAAAAAAAAAACAAAAAATTAGCTGGGCATGGTGGCGCGTGCCTGTAATCCCAGCTACTCAGGAGGCCGAGACAGGAGAGTTGCCTGAGCCCAGGAGGCGGAGGTTGCGGTGAGCCGAGATCGCGCCATTGCACTCCAGCCTGGGTAACAAGAGCGAAACTCCGTCTCAAAAAAAAAAAAAAAAATGCTTTCTTTGGTGTCTCAGTTTTAACACATGCTGGGGCTTGGGCCTGCCTCTGACAGACTGGGGAGGAGTAGACACATTCCAGAGACCAGGTCGTGGAGTGTTATCTCTTCCCCCACCTCAAATCCTCACCCTTCACTTTATCTCTCCTTAGCATGAATGCGGAGAACCCCTAGGGATGTGTGAAGGGATGGGCTTTAGGCAGGTTTGGGGAAGGAAGGGGAATAAGATGAGCCCCAAAGAAAGACGCGGCCACTTGCAATTTTTAGATGACACTCCTTTGTCATACTTCTCCTGTGAGTGTATTATGTCCTACAAATTGTGCGTTTGTTGCAGTAAGCCACAGTGCATATGTGTGTTTGCCAAGTGCTGCTTGGCCAAAACAGTGTTAAATAAAATTGTAAGAAATGCTACCAAGGCCTTGCATGGGTTATTTAATTCTATCAATGATAAACAACGTTAATGTGTAGCATCTCGGTCCACACAATATCATGTTTCATTTATATATGCTGAGATATGTTTAAGCATGAAAGATCGTTTTCCAACACGTGTATTTCCCAGTGATTATTTAAGGGAAGTGTGATAGAAACAGCAGAAGCCTTTCTCTCACATAAACCTGCACCCTGCAAACACAGACTGCCAGTCACACTTAGTCACACGGCCAGCCAGCCACGTACATAGTTTCATATACATGCCTTCACAGGTAAATGTAACTGCAGATTTTAGAAATGGAGATTCAGATTTCTGTACTGGTACACAATTCCAGATACATGTAGCAGCACACCCAGGCAGCTTTTCAAAGTCTTTGGTATATTTACACATTTTCTCACACACCTGCCTACCCTGCTGCATAAACGGACGCTAACACCAACATGCTTATCATCCCGCATGTGGATATTTATGTGTACACATGTTGGTACTCTCACTGCCAAGTGCTGATGTGCCCGGACGGATGTGTGCCCACATGCTGGAGACTGCTCTGCCCAGTCTCCTACTGAAATGTGCATCTGTGTGCATGTGCACATTTGCATACACACATGCACACTCTGGGGAGTACACTGACATTCACTGACATACACCATATGGCTACGGAGCAGTGACAGTTTTTGAACTGGGACCTGTGTGTTTGTCCTATGAACCTTGAGGCCTTCAGGATGGGAAGCCTGGAGGATCAGGGTCAAGATGCCAGCCTGTCTAGCCTCTGATGAAAATAATATGAAAATGTAGGAGTGGGAGAGGGGGTTGGGCAGCTGGTCTCTGCAGACAGAGATGCCTCCAAAGGAGGATCCACCTTTTATTTGCTCATTTGACAGACATGTTAGAGAGGTGTACAGGAGTCAGGATGCCTGACCAGCTTTTCTTGTCCTGATTCTGCTGCCACTTAGTTGTGTGGATCCAGGCAACCTGCTCTCTAGGCCTCAGTTTCCACATCTGTAAAGAATGGGCCTGGGGCCAGGTGTGGTAGCTCACGTCTGTAATCCCAGCACTTTGGAAGACCAAGGCAGGTGGATCACCTGAGGTCAGGAGTTCAAGACCAGCCTGGCCAACATGGTGAAACTCCGTCTCTACTAAAAATACAAAAATTAACTGGGTATGGTGGTGTGCACCTGTAGTCCCAGCTACTCGGAAAGCTGAGGCAGGAGATTCGCTTGAACCTGGGGACCAGAGATTGCAGTGAGCCGAGATCGGGCCACTTAACTCCAGCCTGGGTGAAAGAGCAAAACTGTCTTAAAAAAAAAAAAAAAAAAAAAGAATGGGCCTGGATGGGCAGTTCTCAACCTTGGATGCACAGTGGAATCATCCAGGGAGCTTTCAAAAAATAGAGATGCCTGGGCTCCACCCCAGACCAGTTAGATCAGCATCTCTGGGAGGTGAGTTCCTAGCATCTTACTATTTTTTTTGTAAAGCTTCCCAGGTGATCCTGTGTTCAACCGAGGTTGAGACCCACTGGCTGAGATGATCCGCAAGGCTCCTCTAGACCAAAAGCTCTATGCCTCGGAGGACTTTCTATACAAAAAGCACTGTGCTGGGTACCAGAGCACCCTGCTGAAATACCTACATTTACTTGTACAAGGTCATTAAAAGCTGTTAAAATTATTCTTCCCTCAGTTTAGGCAAAGAATAATTTCAAACAAAGTATACGTAGCCTGGAAACACTCCTACTTGCATTTCCAGCTCTCTTTCTGCGTCTGTTTCCTTTCCAATTTCTCTCTCTCTCTGACTCACTCATCAAACATTAATTGTATGCCACATACAAAATACTATATGTGGGGACCTGCTAAATGTGATCGATACCTTTGCTGCCCACGCATATTTCCTGGCTAGCTCCTCACCCAACCTGTTGGACGGCGTAATGTTTTTAGCAGGGTAAATGATAAGGCACAGGCTCCAGGAGGAAGGCAAGTTTTCTCCCCCTGCCCCCCAAGCCCAGCTGTGAGTCAGAGAACACCAGCCCCCAGGCCCGTGCCCCCGTTCTGGAGGCTGGCATGGCGCTGAAGAACGCATTAAGCTGCGTGTCCTAGAAAGCTGCTCTCAGACCTGGGCCTTTGGGAATCCCACATTAATATTCTCCACCAACAGCTCCCCAGGCAGGGCCAGTCCCCCTTGAAAACAAACCTGCTCCGTGGCCACACCTGCCAGAGAAGACTGCCTGTCATCCACAGCACGTGCAGACGGCAAAGCTGAGATGAGACAGCCCGAGCTGCCGCCTTCGGGGCCCTTCTCTGTCGGAGGCTGTTTAGAACCGTGTGGGGAGGGCTGCTGCCTCTCACCTGCGGTGGGACGGAGGAGAGGGGTTTCATTCTGCATGAAGGGTCTCCACTTCTCCGTCATCACTTGCTCAGGCCTCAGAAGGGAGCCTGCTTCTCTCTTTCCCTCTCCCCCTTCAGTTACACTGGCCTGCTGAGAGTTTTGGATGAGTTTTCTGTAGGAAAATTGTCCCAATGTGGGCATGGTGGCAGCTCTTCGGTCCAGGTGAATGCCAGAGTAGGATTGGGCCTGAGAGCCGTGGGTTTGGTCTCTAACCCTCTCATTCACTCCTGTTTGCTGCCTGTTTCTCTGTTGATCTTTTTATGTCCCCTGTTCCCTTTCATTTTGTCTTCTCCCTGATGACATACAGAATCAAGTCCTGGCCACCAAGGGGGCCTTGAACACAGTGTAGGAGAGGTCACTGGGCACGCGGGACCTCTCACGTCATGCCCCGTACCCTCTTCTCCCTTCCCCTCTCCTCTTGCATGGAGGATGAGCTTGGTGCGCAGGAGGGAGAGGCAGCACGGGATCCTCAGATTCTAAACTCCGATGGGGCCCAGCTTCCCAGGCTTGAGTCCCTTCCCGGGGCCCACCTCCCCTTGGGCCTGGGGAATGTCACACCCCAGGATGTGATGGATTCCCCGGGCACCTTCAAAGAGCTCTGCATTTGTTTGCAGTGCAGACCTTGAATCCTGCTCTGGTCATCAATGTTGTTTATTTTGACGAAGACCTACTGAAAGGGACTGGGGGATATGGAGGGCAAAGAGAGAATTCTGTAGGGAAGATCATAAAACCATTAGCAAGGCAGGGCTTCTAGGGGTCACGGGATCATAGACATTTTCTGGCTGGAAGGAGCATAGGCCCATCAGGAAGGTCAGAGATGACCACTTTGTCAGCAAAAGGCCTTCAGCGGCCACACAGGGCTCGGGTGGGGGTCTTTGGGACTCTTGTGTGAGGACTGTTTCTAGAAAGTAGACCCCAGCTATGGGGTCATGACCCCCCCAGTAACCTTATACCAGGTCGGGGAGGCCAATCTTGCTGAATCTGACGGATTTGCCCTCCTGGTGGGAAGAACCACTTTTGTGGCTGTGCAGCAGGGCCTCCTGCCCTAGGGAGTGGGCACAGCACCTGGGTGAAAGACTCTGCTTCCACCAGCTCCTGGGGAAAAGACTTTGCTTCCACTATTACTGGAAGTAACATGGGCCGGGGGCT